AAATTAAAAATGAATTTATTTTTTTCTAAAGTTGTTGAAAAAAAAAGTAGTTTCGATTCGACATTTATTTTTTCATTCCTCAATTTTACTTCATTATACTGAAGGGTTTTGAGTTAAAAAATAATTAATTAATTTTGTCTGGATGAAAAAATTATGAAAGTTAAAATAAATAGGGGTTTAGCTTTATTTATATTTCTTCAAAAAAAAAATTCCTGAAAATATTTTAGAAGTTAATAATAAAAAGAATTTTTTTAAAAAAATTTACCTAAATTCCAGGTCATATACCATTAATTCCATTCCCTCTAATTGGGATCAACTCATTAAATAAAAACTTTCAAAACAGTTCAGACTCTTATATATAGACAAATATAAGTAAAAATGAATCAGTATAAATAAAGAAAAATGAATTTATTTCAAAAGTTATTGAAAAAAAAGTAGTTCCTCAATTTTATTTCATTATGCTGAAGGGTTTTGAGTTAAAAAAAAAAAAAAATTTATCTAGAAGAAAAAATTACGAAAATTAAAATAAAAAATGATAGGTGTTTAGCATTATTTACATTTCTTCAAAAAAAATTTAATCAAATATTTTAGAAGTTAATAATAAAAAAGAATTTTTTAAAACATTTTATTTACCTAAAAACTTATAATTCCAGGTCATATACCATTCATTCCATTCCCTCTAATTGGGATCAACTTATTATATAAAAAACTTTCAAAACAGTTCAGACTTTTATGTATAGACAAATATAAATAAAATTGAATCAGTATAAATAAAGAAAAATGAATTTATTTCAAAAGTTATTAAAAAAAAGTAGTTTCGACATTTATTTTTTCATTCCTCAATTTTATTTCATTATGCTGAAGGGTGCTCACAAAAATTTTCTCAAGGAGGAGGATGCAACTGATATACACTACATATATATTTAAACTATATATAAATAATATAAGCATGAAAGAAAAACAATTTTTAAAAAATGCGGTTCAAATTATAACGCCTTTGTAACACATTTTTAGATAGGAAGCGCTGAGATACTGTATCCTGACGTCATAGCAAACCACACCTCATTTTGTGTCACGTGAAGTTAGTTTCGTTTTGGGCTAATTTTAAGTTAAGTTTTTTTTAACATTCGGGTCAGTTTTTTAAATTCTGAATTGATTTTAGGGAGTTTTAAGATATAAACTATTCAAAATAATCAACATTCTGCGATTACCCGAAGCATGCAGGTTCCTCATTGCTCGTCATTTGAGTCGAAGCGATGCGGCGATTCGAAGATGCTGGCAAGGATGGGTGGAAAATTGCAGAGTTCAGCGTCAGGATGGTAGCTGTCGACCTAGGGCTACAACAGAGCGTGAGGACAGAGTGATTGTCCGAGCAGCTGTCACAGCGCCTTCTTAATCTCTATCAACCATCAGACGTTCAACCCAAACACCAGTGTCCACCATGACCATTCACAAACGGTTGAGAGAGCGTAATCTACGCTCGCGGCGACCGTTACGCCACCTGCCACTCACGCCTGCACACTATCGAGTCAGATTACAGTGGTGCATGGCTCGATCAGGCTGGAATGATGCCGACTGGGGACGTATAGTCTTTAGCGACGAATCCCGCTACCAACTGTGTCCTGACGATCCTCGAAGACGTGTTTGGAGATGCAAAGGGCAGAGGGGGGATCCTGCCTTCACTATTGCACGCCACACCGGCCCTCAACAAGGCATTATGGTCTGGGGTGCCATTTTCTTTGACACCCGGACCCCTTTGGTCATCATTAGAGGTACACTTACTGCACAGCGGTAAGTGGACGACATCCTAAGACTTGTTCTGCTACCGTTCCTTTTACAGAGCCCTGGGCTGGTTTTTCAGCAGAACAGTGCCAGACCACATACGGCACGCGTTGCTATGAACTGTCTGCAAGCTTGTCAAACTCTTCCTTGGCCTGCCAGATCACCAGATCTCTCTCCCATTGAGCATGTCTGGGATATGATGGGAAGGCGATTGCATCTTCTTCAAAGTCTTCAAAGTTGTAGTCTTCAAATGCTCAAAAAAATGTACTTTTGATGCAAGAAATGGTAAAATATATGTAGTGAAGAAAGATGGATCTCTCTCAGTAAAGCTTGATCAAACTCTTTTATTTATTTGGTGCACAAAATCACCAACTGTCTTCTTGTCTTGTCATAAATATTATACAGCTTTTTTGTTTAACCCATTAAAAATGATTCTTTTGAAGGAGTAAATAAATTTCCTTAGTTTCTACTGCAGTGTTACAAAAATAAATTATCAATAGTAATGTAGCCAAAGATTCCAGAACCACTGGGTAGATTTTAAAATGAAATTTGGCCGGAAAATGAAGATTAATATAATTTAATCATTCAGGATAGTTGTTCGTAATAGGCATGAAAAAAGTTGAAGGCTTGAAGAAATTAATGAAGTTCTCAAGTAATTGAGTGAGGAAATAACTGGGTTTGTTTCACAAGTTGTGGTCCATTATGGATGGAAGATTTGAGCTTTAGTAACCCTCTGGGGCCAAAAAGAGGAACTAGACAAGGGAGATATTTTTTGCGCTCAATCGAATTGCAAATCAAGTCGATAGGACTAATAGATCAGAAGTTATAAGGGATGCAGTTAGTATGAAGTACAATTTTCGATTTTACTATTTTGTAACCAGCATTGAGTAGCCGATCCAATTTTGAATTTATGAGTATCCAGTCTGTAGCTTTGTAATTTTGAACCCAATTCATAAAACA